TTAAATGGGTAGTTCTCTTCCAGGCAAGGACAAGTAGAGAGGCTGGAAAGTATATGAATTAGCCAACTAAACCTTTTCGCAGTCTTAATGACAGAGGTCCTCTTTTGGCCTCAAGTTATTCACATTCTGTTAGACTTCATTCTCTACTTTTACTTCTTTAAACACAGCTACTCTGTTTAAGTGCCAAAGAGTGTGACTCAGTGGCTGTCATCAGGCACAACATGCCAGAAGTTAATTGGGTATCTTTTGTGATGTTTCTAGGTTCATTCTTACTATTTTATTGATTGTTTTTCCTGATTGAAAATCTTACTATATTTCTATTGACTTCATGAAAATATATTCTTGTGGCTCTACACTCACAAGGAAATGTTGAAAAATATGTTGGTGATAAGGTTGAAGTTGAAGTTCTTAAATGCAGAATAAGTGAATGCTTACATTTTATATCATGAAAATGCTGGTCAGATAGTCAGGCTGTTAGTTATAGGTTGACTCTAAGGATATGGGCTGAAGGGACAAAAATAGATTTCTAATCAACTGGCCCTGAGTTATTGGACAACTGTAAGGCTTGGATTGCTTTCTAGCTTTGGCTTATTTTCCTGTCCCTGTGAGAACTATCAAAATGGGTAGCAATATTAATAACTCCCTCACCCCCAGGATGGGCTCCTTCTCTAGGGCAAGGGCAACATGTCCCAAGATGTGAAGGACTCAAAGTACCTGTGGTGATCTCTCCTTAATCCTTTATAACCTCGACCTTTTCTGGACCTCATTGCTTAGAGGCAACAAAAAATTAAATGGTGATCTGGATATGATATGGGAGCTAAAATTGGCAAAGATAGTTTGATTGAAAAATTCTTTTCCAGCTCCTATGTATGTAAGCTTTTTGTTGATTCTCTCCTGTTTAGTTAAAACAGTGTGAGGCTGAAGTGGCACAATGGAGTACTTTCTAATTTGGTAAAGGTTAAGTCAGAAAACAGCTTCCACTGATCAGGTATAAGGCAAATAAAGCAATTTATAAAGTTGTACCAGGAGCATTTTTTCCTTTGTTGAAGTGAATGAAATGCCACATACTGGCCATACTTAACTGTTAAATTAAATCTTTCGATGGTTGCCAATTTGGTTTTGGGTCCTGGATCTTAAAGGGGAATTAGTGGTAGATGTTAACTGTTGATTGTCACTAAATAGATATTAGTGTGTGTGTGTG